CCCCCCCCAAACACGTGACTAGAAAGGCAGAAGAAAGGAGGGGAGGAACAGAGGAAGGGTGGAAGAAAGGACCGAGGAAGAAGAAGGAAGGAAGGGAAGAAGGAAGGAAGGCAGAAGGAAGGGAGAAGAGTGAAAGGGAAGAGTGAGGGAGGCAGGGAGGCAAGAAAAGGGCGTAAGAGGAGGGATGAAGGGAGAGAGGAATTGAGGGAAGGAGAGGGAGGAGGAAGGAAACAGAGGCAGGGAAGAGGGGAGGGAAGATGAAGGGAAGAAGGAGGAGAAGAGGAAGGGAAGACCAGAAGGAAGAAGGGAGAAAGGTGAGGGCAGAAAGAAGGGAATGAAAGGAAGGAGGGAGAAAAGGGAAGGAGGAACATAGCAAGGAAGGAACAGGAGGAGGAAGGCAGGAGAAAGGAGGGAGGAAAGGAGGAAGGGAGAAGGAAAAAAGGAACCAGGAGGAAGGAAAGGAAAGAGAGGAAGGAGGTAAGAGGAAAGAAAAAAGGGAGGAGGATTGGGAAGGAAAAGGGAGAACAGGAAGAGGGGAAGGAGCGAAGAAGGGAAGAAAGGGCAAAGGAGGATAAATGGAAGGCATGAAGGGAAGAGAGGGAGGGAGGGAAGGAGGAAGAAAGGAAGGCTGGAAGGAGGGAGGGAGGAAGGAATGGTGAAGGAAGAGAGGAAGAGGGAAGGGAGAGAGCAGGGAAAGAAGGGGGGAGGGAAGGACAAAGCCAGGGAGAAAAAGAGAAGAAAGCAGCTTGGGAAGAAGGAAAGGGGAGAAAGGATGGAATGAAGGAAGGCTGAGCAGAAGGGAAGACGACAGCAAGGAAGGGATGGTGGAAGGATAAATGGAAGGCATGAAGGAGGAAAGAGGAAGAGGCAGCATGGGAGGAAGGAAGAAGAATGTGGGAAGAGAGGAACAGGAAAAGAAGGCAGGAATGGTGAAAGGAAAGGGGAAGAGGGAAAGAAGAGACGGAGAGACGAAGAGAGGAAAGGGGAAGAAGGAAAGGGAAAAGGAGGAGGGAATAGTGGAAGAAATGGAAGACACTAAGAGGAAAGGATAACAAGGAAGTAGGGGGTAGAGGAAGGGAGGAATAGAGGGAAGAAGGCAAAGGAAGAAAGGAAAGTGAAGGGACGGAGGAGGAAGAAGGGAGGGAGGAAGGAAAGAGAGCACACTGACATCTCTGCCATTCTTTATTCCCCAGCACCATGCCCCAAGCCCACTCACCCCGCCCCCACGGGGCCCCCCTTGCTCTGCCCAGGGGGTGGCCAGGCCCTGGGTCCAGTCTGGCCCTGGGCTGCTGGCGGGTCCGTAGTGCCCCTGGGTGCCGTGGGGCTGCTGGTGGGTCCACAGTGTCCCCAGCTGCCGTGGGTCCGGCCTGGGGCTGCTCCAGGGGCCGCTGGGTCCCCCGCT